TTGCAAATAAATGCTCGAGAAAAAACTCTTGCTCTTACAAGCTGATTTAATGGACAAGAGAGGCTTCAAATAATGAATTTATTTCATTGCCGACTGCACTGATTCTCGAAAAAAAAAAAATGCCTTGATGCAGAAAACGCAGACGGCAGCTGTGTGGTGAAAATAAATCTTTCTGACTTTGTCTTTTGGAGTTTCCTATTGTTATTCCAAATGATCTCAACTGCTTCTGTCAATTAGAGGCAACATTAGATACATGTACGCAATAACAATGATATCAAAAAGCGGTGGAGGCTGTGGTCTCGGTTTTATTGTGGATGACCAAGGAGCAGCCTCGGCCGGCAAAAAATACTGTCGCGATTTTTTGGTGGCGCTGAGACAGCCTGTATTGTCAGCAGCAATAATCCCGCTGTTTCTGGTGACGGCGCAGCTCGGTTGATGATGGAAGACGCATCTCTATTGTTTGTTGGGCGCCCTTCCTGGTCGGTTCGAAATGTTTACATTAAAGTATTTGCCGAAAAAATCGGCCACTGAGCCATCTGGAGCTTTGCGTCGCTCCAGCTGGGTTCACCTTGCAAGAAAACTGCATACATAATTATTCGTGCAGATGGTTGACAGCGGCACCACTATTACAGAGGGAATATTTTTGGGTTACGGTACCGCGAGGTACAAGTTTTACGCCAATTTTTTATCTTTTTTTTCTTTTGTTCCATTTTTCCATTCGAGCCGTTTTTCTTCGAGAAGCTGTGCTTTTTCTCGCCTTCCCTATTCCGCTGCCCTTTGCCTCCCTTACATCTCCTTAAAAGCAGTACTGCTAGCAAACTGATTCAAGCACCATACAGTTTTTTGTGGCTATTTGGATGTTTTGAAATATTTGAGTTGTACTTCGATAAGGAACATTTCTCCAAAATTTCAGCTTTCTAGCTTTCCTGGTACCCGAGATAGTAATTTTCCTCCCAAAACTTTTATACGCTCTTACGTGAGTACCATGCATAGCTTGGGGCTGAATTTGTAATATTTGAGTTGTACTTAGATGGGAACATCTCCCCAAATTTCAGCTTTCTAGCCTCTCTGGTACCCGAGTTAGCAGTTTCCCTCCTAAAACTTCCATACGCCCCTACATGAGTTCCACGCATACCTGGGGGCTAGATTTGAAAACTCTAGCTAGTACATGCACAGGGAATATCCCTACAAACTCCCAGCCCCTTATCTCATGTGATTCCCGAGATCGCTTTCCCTCCAAAAAATTTGCATATCTTTTTAAAGCTTCCGTACGCGGCACCCAGGCTTCCAAGGGGGTGAAATTAAAACGGGAGGGTCGCGCATGGTACGGGCACATACTCGCAAAGTTTCAGTCTTCTAGTTTTTCTGGTTCTCGAGCTGAAAGTGGCTGACAAAAAGTGCGAACACACACGCACACAGGCACACACACACGCACACACACACGCACACACACGCACACACACACACACGCACACACACACAGCCTCTTCCCAATATGCTTTTTTGCAATTTACATTTATACAAAAACGCATTATAACATTCCTCCTTTCCGTGCAATGAGTCACTTTCGTACATCCTTCCCAGATCCCTCCTTTATCTCTCTCATCAACAACAACATTTTTCTTTTTATTTTATCTCCATTTCCCATTAAATAACCTTTTTTTATGGGCTTCCTATATTGCACCATCTCTTATTTGACCGAAAGGGCTCACATTCTTTCTCTTCCGGGGTGGTACTAACTTTCCTTATTTAAAATCCCATTCCTTCACTTGGGGTCTTCGTCTTGGGTCTTCGTCTTGGTCTTGGTTCTTCGTCATCAGTCTGGAACGGCTTGAATTCTTTACCGTCAGTTCTCCAGCGACGCTGTCTACCTAACCTCCATCCCTGGGACACACCAAGTGCCCTGCCTGTCTACGCAGCCACATCCCCCTACACTGAATCCATGGCTGTCTTCTTGGATATTGCTGTACGTAACTAATTCATAAAAAATCATTATTTTACTCCTCGCACTCACAACACATAAACAAACGCACTTCGATCCACCGCACTTTTACTCAGGGAGGCTGGGGAGGAGGAGGGGAGGGGGGG